CTTTTCTGCGGCCTTCCTTCGCTTTATGTGATCACCGAAGTCGTACTCATTTCACAACGCATGTAGACCGTCTACTCACCGCTGTCAGGACAGTGTCGGTGTAGTGATGGGCATCATCTATTTTAGTACCAGGCGGAGTCAATCACTGTGTTCATGTTAATAATGACCTTTGACTGCTGATCAGCATTGGGGCTGAACACATCATGTAACTACGTTTATCATGTATCAACCGAGGGTAAACAAATTCATGTTTACATCGTGGATTATTATGATATGATGCCAGCGAGGAAATGTTTGCCCGGGCGGGAGTGCCATGGCTCTGCAGCATGCTCCTCTAGGAATTCGGACACGTGTGGCTACGCATCTTGACAATAAGAGTCAAACACAGAGCAAACGTCTGGCCTGGTTGTACTGACAAGTTGTCAAAATTCGCGCCACCTGACCTGGCGTGGCTCACGCACATGCCAGTGGATAATACTAGGCTACAGCTGGTGTCATGTGGTCATCCCCAGCAGCCTCGAATGGGTTATCCCATGGGACGCCGGCAACGTGTTCGACCGACCAAGTACAGGTTCGTCATTGGTTGGGAACGGTGATGGTGAAATGGCTTTTGCTGGTACTGTAGTATTACATGATGTAGTGCATATTTGCGCTAGTAGCATTACAGTGCACAATGTACTGAATTAGTAGTACTAGTAGTGGCACCGTAACAAGAGGATAGAGCATGTCTGTCACATGAGCATTTCAAGTGCCACAAATTGTGGTAGTTTTTTTAGTTCCAACTCAAGTCTAACATCAATTCAACTGGTCACATACTGTCAGCCATGTTGGTTCCACTCTCCACATGCCATGTGCACGTTCTACTCGAATGCAGTGACAGTCACACTAGTCATGACGAAAATAATAATTCGAAACCGCTCCTGGTGATTTGGTAAGAAGTGCATGAATGCAGTAACTGGTACTGTGAAGTAGGCAGTTCTGAGCTGGATAGGCATTGGCGGATAATGCCGGCAGAAAATTGGCAGAATTCGGTACTTCTTCTGGTAAGTTTCATGCATGTTTGGTATGTGGATAAAGAAATGGAGCAGAATTCGAGGAATTGCCCGCCATAAGGTTTGTATGGTTCTGCCAATTTCACGGCTTATCCGCCAAACCCTAGCGCTGGAGGCAACCTTTGCTACATGGCCTGTAGGTGCTTCGTATTGAAGTCTGGTGTTCGTAAGTACATGACTGTGTATGTGTATGTAGCTCAAAGGAGTTGAATTCCGAGGTGTTGTACAAAGCCGACGTTTGGCCAGCCGTTGAATATTCAATAGCCCTTGGTGGATAAGGCCAGCAGACCAACCAGGGGAATTTGGTACCTTTTTAACTTTTTAGGGAAACAATAATAATTATTATTATAAGGACTGAGGAAGGGCGGAGGCTTCCTGCAGCTTCATCTGTGAAAGGAATTCGGGTGGACACACCAATTCCCATAGCTCTGCACATCCGAACCAGTTCCGTTACTTTACAACGTTTCGTAAAGAAGAGTGTGTTGAAGTCCATCGAACCGTCTACTCCGCAAAACCTGCAAGAAAGCACCACTCCCTGCTCAATACACAGAGTTTCGGGTAATTCACCCCTCATCAGTTGAGCTTGAGTAGGCTAAGGAAGATTGTGCCTGAAGAGCACCACTTATAGTGCTCTCCAGGCACAAACATCACCAGGCATACAAACTTACAGAGACGCTCCGGGTGAATTCCCCCGAAACACTGCAGGTTTGCCGAGTGGACGGTTCGATGGACTTATCGTGTGCTCTGGATGGCAGTCGTGAGTCAGTCAAGTGAGAATTCAAGTCGGCAGGAAAACCGCGAGCTCCCATGTAGGGAGCAACACGGCGGCTGGCTGTCCTTATGGAGGAGCGTGGATCAGTTGGGTATCATACCCACAAATGAACCCCTCGATAGGCACATTGCCTTTGGGTCATTTCATAATAATAATAATAATAATAATAATAATAATTTGAAACTCGGATGTTGAGCCATAAATAAATGTGGAAGAGAAAAAGACATATGGATACGAGTTAAGAGTAACTCTCCATCACTGTAACATGATACTATATACAGTCAGAAAGTGCAATAACTAGGCACAAAACTGACAGAGTACTGAAACATTCGACGTCCTGACACCTAGCTTCAACACATCTCCGTAGCGCTAACCGACAGCCTTCCAACTTGGAAGGTTCAAGGTTATGGAAAAGACCAAAGAGGGGAAGGCAAGCGCAACGAAAACGAGCAAAAGCTACAGTCCCAACGGAACAAAGAATGTCGATTGTTACTGGACGATGACGAGACCAGTACGATATTTGACAAAGCGGTCTAACTACAATTCGAAGCAGCAAAGCAGCACACCACCCAACTTGGGTGGGTCATAAATATCAAAGATAAGTAAAGAAAGGGAAGCTTTGCGAAAACGAATTGTACAAGCCGAAAGCCAAACTCCTACAGTACTCCTCATGCATGACATTGTGATGGACTAGTTGACTACAAAACAAGTTGTTTCACACGACGTACGTTTCGCCGTATGGTTCGTGACGGCTCATCAGGTGTGCAATTTGAAACTCGGATGTTGAGCCATAAATAAATGTGGAAGAGAAAAAGACATATGGATACGAGTATCATGTTACAGTGATGGAGAGTTACTCTTAACTCGTATCCATATGTCTTTTTCTCTTCCACATTTATTTATGGCTCAACATCCGAGTTTCAAATTGCACACCTGATGAGCCGTCACGAACCATACGGCGAAACGTACGTCGTGTGAAACAACTTGTTTTGTAGTCAACTAGTCCATCACAATGTCATGCATGAGGAGTACTGTAGGAGTTTGGCTTTCGGCTTGTACAATTCGTTTTCGCAAAGCTTCCCTTTCTTTACTTATCTTTGATATTTATGACCCACCCAAGTTGGGTGGTGTGCTGCTTTGCTGCTTCGAATTGTAGTTAGACCGCTTTGTCAAATATCGTACTGGTCTCGTCATCGTCCAGTAACAATCGACATTCTTTGTTCCGTTGGGACTGTAGCTTTTGCTCGTTTTCGTTGCGCTTGCCTTCCCCTCTTTGGTCTTTTCCATAACCTTGAACCTTCCAAGTTGGAAGGCTGTCGGTTAGCGCTACGGAGATGTGTTGAAGCTAGGTGTCAGGACGTCGAATGTTTCAGTACTCTGTCAGTTTTGTGCCTAGTTATTGCACTTTCTGACTGTATATACTTGAAGTAGTATCATGTTACAGTGATGGAGAGTTACTCTTAACTCGTATCCATATGTCTTTTTCTCTTCCACATTTATTTATGGCTCAACATCCGAGTTTCAAATTGCACACCTGATGAGCCGTCACGAACCATACGGCGAAACGTACGTCGTGTGAAACAACTTGTTTTGTAGTCAACTAGTCCATCACAATGTCATGCATGAGGAGTACTGTAGGAGTTTGGCTTTCGGCTTGTACAATTCGTTTTCGCAAAGCTTCCCTTTCTTTACTTATCTTTGATATTTATGACCCACCCAAGTTGGGTGGTGTGCTGCTTTGCTGCTTCGAATTGTAGTTAGACCGCTTTGTCAAATATCGTACTGGTCTCGTCATCGTCCAGTAACAATCGACATTCTTTGTTCCGTTGGGACTGTAGCTTTTGCTCGTTTTCGTTGCGCTTGCCTTCCCCTCTTTGGTCTTTTCCATAACCTTGAACCTTCCAAGTTGGAAGGCTGTCGGTTAGCGCTACGGAGATGTGTTGAAGCTAGGTGTCAGGACGTCGAATGTTTCAGTACTCTGTCAGTTTTGTGCCTAGTTATTGCACTTTCTGACTGTATATAGTATCATGTTACAGTGATGGAGAGTTACTCTTAACTCGTATCCATATGTCTTTTTCTCTTCCACATTTATTTATGGCTCAACATCCGAGTTTCAAATTGCACACCTGATGAGCCGTCACGAACCATACGGCGAAACGTACGTCGTGTGAAACAACTTGTTTTGTAGTCAACTAGTCCATCACAATGTCATGCATGAGGAGTACTGTAGGAGTTTGGCTTTCGGCTTGTACAATTCGTTTTCGCAAAGCTTCCCTTTCTTTACTTATCTTTGATATTTATGACCCACCCAAGTTGGGTGGTGTGCTGCTTTGCTGCTTCGAATTGTAGTTAGACCGCTTTGTCAAATATCGTACTGGTCTCGTCATCGTCCAGTAACAATCGACATTCTTTGTTCCGTTGGGACTGTAGCTTTTGCTCGTTTTCGTTGCGCTTGCCTTCCCCTCTTTGGTCTTTTCCATAACCTTGAACCTTCCAAGTTGGAAGGCTGTCGGTTAGCGCTACGGAGATGTGTTGAAGCTAGGTGTCAGGACGTCGAATGTTTCAGTACTCTGTCAGTTTTGTGCCTAGTTATTGCACTTTCTGACTGTATATAGTATCATGTTACAGTGATGGAGAGTTACTCTTAACTCGTATCCATATGTCTTTTTCTCTTCCACAATAATAATAATAATAATATCTCGCTTATCCGGAGCCGGCTGGCCTTTCCTTT